TAATGGCCCCTCTTGTCCTGACCCCTTGTCTTAGCAGCTGTTACCCTCCATTAATTCTCTCACACAGCTCCCCATGCCTCCTAGCGCCTCTAAGACTAGACGAGACTCTCTGGGTGGTGTCTGAACACCCCCACTGCCACCATGACACCACCCCTCTGCCTAGGAACCTTCTGGCCTCACCACAGCTTCCTGTCTGAAGATGTCAGGGCTCAGGGGAGGCCACTAGGGCTGTGGGTGCTAGGGCCCCACCCTCTCTACCTCCTGAGCACCCAGTACTTGGTAGCGGACTGTGGTGTCCCCCGCTTCCGCCGGATGGAAGCAAGCAGCCAGACAGGCCTCACATGTGGGCATCGACGTCGCACTCACTGCCCATGGCTAGCGTTCATTTTGGGTTTGGAAAAAATTCAACTTTCTGGGGTCGTTCCTGTCCCATAGAACTCTGATCAGTGCTGACTGGGAAGGCAGGTCCCTCTCCCCAGTTCTAGAGCTTTCTATGGCATTTCCTAGAGCCATTTCTAACTCGGTCATTGCCCGCACCCCCTTAGCCTCCACATTTCTCTAGTCTAGATAGTTACTGGCCATCATTTTTTTTTTTTTCCCACATTATCCCAAGACCCAGCCACAGGTAGAGCTGACTCATCTCCCTGATAATGAATTCATTTACTCCACAGTCACTGCTGGAGCGTCCTTCTGACAAACACCGTGCACACACATGACCCAGCTTCATAAGCATATTGCTCACTGGCCAGGGAATTTCCTCCAACCATTAGGACTTCCCCAGTCACTCGAGTGACTGATAACATGCCACTCTTCAACATACCTCTAGGACTTAGGAATCTGTCCTGGGGAAAAAAAAAAAAAACAGTGGACACTCCTTGAGAGGGCACCTAGATTCTCCACCCCCTACGGAAGGAGCTGGGGCCAGAGCCATGTGTGATAGTGCCTATACCTCAGACGGCTAGGCAGGAGGATGGAGAATTGAAGGGCAGCGTGGGCTGCTTGGCAGTATTTGAGGTCAGCTAGAGGAACAGAGACCCCTGCCTGGAACAAACAAACAAACTCAGATTGAGGACTGGGAAGGCAGTTCAGTGGTAGAGCTTAGAATGCACAGGGGTCTGATTTTCTGCCCTAGCACAAAACAAAAAAGAAGTCTAAAGAACAGTATGTGCTGAGCTGCCCCAAAGCCAGCCCGCCCCTTGGTTTTTCGAGACAGGGTTTCTCTGTGTAGCTTTGCGCCTTTCCTGGCACTCACTTGGTAGCCCAGGCTGGCCTCGAACTCACAGAGATCCACCCGGCTCTGCCTCCCGAGTGCTGGGATTAAAGGCATGCGCTACCACCACCCGGCTTTGATTGAATTCTTTTGACTATTTTAGCTCTGATGAAAGATAAGGAAAATGAGGCTTGGACACCCCCAGTGCCACAACTGAGTGGAAGCAAGTCAGGGTCTTGGTCTGACTCCAAGCAGGAAGCAGAAAGTTACAGACAAGATAGCTCAATACACCACACTATCATCACCACCTCCCCATGACAGCCGCTGGGGTCCCCCTCCATCCCTGCACAGCCTCGAGGAACTTGTTCTAACCAGCAGCAGCTTTCTGAACCCTCATCATATTGCCTGACATGTCCTTCGGGCATCTTTTTCCAGAAAACGTCCAAAATGGTCTCCGCTCTGGTCTGGGGGGGGGAAATGGTCCTGAACAGGGAACTTTGGGATGTGACAGGAAAGGCTGATGGCAGAGGGAGGCAAAAAACAGACTTCCTGGCCCCTCCTGGAGCCGCGGGGAGGCATGCAATACTTCTGCTCAAACAGTATTTCCCCCAAAGTGTGGTCAATGGTCCTGTCCCTCCCCGGCTCCTGGATCAGAGGAGCGTGTGAAAGTAAGTTTTCCAGACAGACTTTTACTGCTCTCTGGGCCACACCCCAGAATTCCTTCCTCACACACCTGGAGTTGGAGGAGAGGGTGGGTGGGGAGCCTCAGTGGGCCACTCAAGGGGTAGGGAGTCTCTCCAGCAGAACTTGCCCAGGACAGGAATGAGGCAGAGGTCTGGGGTGGGGGTAGCCCTCTCCTGATCCTCTCCAGGGGGTGGTGGAGTGGGAAGAATACCTGGATTGGGGCTCCATTGAAGAGCAGAGACTTTGCCTCACGCACACAGGGATGGACCTAGCAGGGAAGGGGCACTCAGTGACAGTGTCGTGGTGCCACCCAGTCACTAGACACTGAGTCACCTAGATGGGTGAGGCTCCACCTGGTCCAACCTTTACCCTGGAAATGCTCATGACACCCCAAAGGGAACCCCAGTGTTGGTGAACTAGGAGCCGAAGTCTGCTCTTTGAGGGGCTAGCAGTAGGAGACAGAGCCTTACTTTCATCCATTTCCTAGACTTTAGGTTCTTTTCTAAAGTTGCCTGTTTCTTCACAGAAAAACCAAGAAAAGACAGAACGGACTGTAGCCCCAGGATCCCAGAAGCCAGGGACACAGGAGGAGGTCCACTCACAGGACCTTGGGGGTCTCAACACAGCCGTGCCAGCCACAGACTCCTGGAGTCATAGCTGTGATCTAGAGAGCTTGCTAACCTAAAACTACAGGACCCAGAAACACAACCCATTGAAATCCAAGCCCCAGGGGACTCAAATCAAAGACCACGGTAAGGGCGGAATTCTGTAACACGGCGAGGTACAAGTACAGCCCCACGTTTTCTAGAACCGCAGGAGAGGAACAGGGCTGGGGAGCAGAACATAATGCTGCGGGGTGGGGTGCATCAGAGTTCACCTCAACCTATTACCTCCCCTTAAAGCTGAGACGGCAGAGGTCCTTTTGCCTTTCAGGGCCTCCCAGCCAGCCAGCTCCCTGCAGAGACCTTCTGCCTTGTTAGGGTATCAGGAAGGGAATGCCCCAGCAAGACAGGGGAAACCCTTGGGGATGACCACGGGGGACCCACTGGGCTCCCACTGGGCTCTGGTGCACTCACCAGCAGTGTCGTAGAGGTTCAGGGTCACCTCCTTGTTGCCCACGGTCACACTAGCCGTGTACTTCTCAAACACCGACGGGGCATAGTGCTGTGAGAGAGGGGGTCGGGTTGGTCTTTTAAGGGGTGCAAAGGAGGCTCAGAGTCCCAGACAGCTCCCCCCCTCCCCACAACTGTCTAACACCCTCACTGCATCCAGCTCCGACCTGGCAGACCACTGGGCCCAGGAATTCTCAAAGGGCTGCCTGAAAGAGACACCCAGGACTGCACGGTCCAGACTTTGGGCCCTGGGTCCTGGCTGGAGGACACCCCTTGTTCCTTGCGGTCCCAAGCCCCTCCTCGCCCGCCCCCTCCTGCCACCTACCAGGCCTCACCTCGGGAAAGGAGCCCTGGCAATACACCATGAGCAGCGACGTCTTGCCGCAGCCGCCGTCACCCACGATCACTATCTTCAGCTCCTTCCTTGCCGAGCTGGGGGCGGCGGCTGGGGCCGGAGCACCTCGGGCGTCCATAGCCCAGAGCCCCGCAGCGCTGGATGCTGCGCTCTGGCCGGAGCCCAGTTGAGCGACAGGGAGGGGGCGGGGCCGCGGGGCGGGGCCGCGAGGCTCCGCCCCTCGGGCCGCCAGCGCCACCTCTGCCAGGCAGCCTCCCGGGTTCACCTCCCTGCCTCAGTTACTCTCTTGCTCTGGTCCCGCCCTGGGCTTTTGTCTCTCAGTCCCCGGGGGAACCGGATGCTGAACCGCGAGCGCGGCAGCGCATCCCCATCACCACGTGTGCCTGCGCATCCCCCAGCCCGTTAGATTCGTGGTTTCTGCCTCTTCACCACCGACAGCCCTTGGTTGGCAAGCTCCGCCTCCTGGCGAGGACCCTTTGATTGGCCGGCCCCACCCCCATAGAGACTCCTGGGTTAGAGGGCTGTACCCGGCGCCCGGGGTTCGCATCCAGGCCTTGCAGCCAGTCGGCCAGTGGGGCCTGTTTTCCTGCAGGTGGTAGCCACCACGGTCGTCCCCGAGAGGACGCCAGAACGTTGGTCGTGTGCGTCCACACAGTCTGAGCCTGGCCCCCGTCGTCCGGGTGCGATCATAGGAATTCTGCTCTCCTCCCCTCCCCACGCGGTCTGTTGACCCACACCGTGGGGCCGGGGCGCCCCCTGCCGGGGGACGCCTTCTACAGCGACTTCAGGTGAACAGCCTGTTTTCCAGGGGTGACTCAAAAAAAAAAAAAAAAAAAGAAAACCACACAGGCAGCATTGAGCAAGGCTCGGAGGGGTGCACCCAAGCACGACATTGTCGCGACCGTGACAGGTCCGAGCATCTGGCCCTTCCATAAATCCGGGAAACTCATCCTCTCCATCTCCACCACGGAGTGTTCTGGTGTCCTCCGGCCCCATGGCCTTCATCCCAGGACTTCCACTCCCATCCAACGGCTCTTGGCTAAGAGCTTCATACAAACAAGTACTAGGGATACGGTTGGTTGACGTCACTGTGACCCATCCTTTTCCTGTTACTATGAGCCGAGGGTCCACTCCCAAAAGGCAGGCCAGTGGTCAGGGGTTGGTAGGACCCCTGCAGCCTGCCCGCAGCAGGAGGACCCGGGGCACCGCACAGTATGAGTGCAATCCTCTTAGCTGGAGTCAAGTTCACGTCTTCAAAGAGCCAAGTTGGGCAGGGCTCAGGGATCTCCTTGACCCTCCCCACCCTTGAAGACGCCGAATTTTCAAGTTCTCAGTGGCGAACATCCAGAAAAATGTCACTTTATGGAGTCCACTACCAACCCCGGGAGGTTCCACAAATGCCAGCTCGTTTCTTCTTGTTTCCCCGCCCCCCTTCCCCGTTCCTCCCGGAGGCGCAAGGCAGAGCCACACCACCAGAGGGCAGCAGCGACCGCCCGTGGGACGTCCAAAGACAACAGAGACCTGGGCGGGCAGTGCAGACCTGGCCCAACCTCCAGCTTTGGGGCCGGGGAGGGGGGGCCCCCTTCATGTCAATGGATCAAAGGTCCCCTAGACAAATGTTCAGCAACTCGTTCATTCCTTTTTTTTTTTTTTACAACTTGTTTATTGAGAAGCAAACCGTGTTCCTGCCTGTGAGGAACGGGCCGGAGGAAGCAGTGATGGAGTTCCCAGCATCAGTGAGATCCGTTTTAAGGCGACAGCAGAGGGACCAGGGAAGGCGGTGTTTGTTGTACTGGGTACAGCTGGGCAGAGAGGTGGGGGGCCAATGGAAGCGGGGAGGGGTGCCCAACCTGGGCAAATGTACCAATGTACCGCAGCTGGAAAACCCTCGGCAGGTTTTCAGTGGGGAGGAGGGAGGGAGACGGGCCGAATGGTTGTCAAGGTAACGGGCTAAATCAGGGCGGGCCTGACTGCTGGTTGAGTGGAGAAGGGCGACAGAGAGGCTGGACAACACAGGAGTGCTGTCAAAACCAGGCAGAGGAGGAGGCGCTGGGGCTGTAGCTCAGTGGCTACAGCTCTTTGAGGACGGCAAAAAAAAAAAAAGGAAAGATGGCGTGCCAGAGGCATGAGTCCCCAGAGGAGGCAGAGCAGGCCACTCCAGCGTGGAGTCAAAATCGCACAGAGGAGGAGTTTGGGAGGGCGCTGGGACCCACTTACCTTTGCAGGGATTCCAGGTTTCTTCTCTCGGGCTGCTTTGGGCTTGGTCCTGGGCCCAGGAGGCTGGCTGGCTGCATGTGCTAGGAGAAAAATTCACTTAGAAGGAAAAAAAAAAAAAAAATACTTGTTCTACTACATACAGCCAAGAGAGGGCTCCGGACTTTCCACAAATCCCCCAGACCCGTGTCTGCACTCTCCATCTCCAGTGACAGAGCAAGTCTGAAGGAAATGACCAAAAGCGAATTAATTCTGGCTCAGGTGGGTTCAGGCTGCTAACCGGTTCCAGCCTGCCTCCCCACCCACCCCAGCCTCACCAGGAGACTGGCAGAACCCCAGCACTATCAGGCCTGGAGTGTTGGACTTGGAGCCAGCTCTCATGGTGATGGTGGGGCTGGATCTGGGTAGCTAAAAATACCCAGGAATCCAGCCAGCTGCCGTGGAGAGCCTCCTCAGAGGTCAGGCCAGGCCAGACAAGCCCCGCTGAGGAGATAAGACACACTCACCCACCCCGGGTGACTGATTCCCTCACCTGCAAGATGTTCTGGGGGCCCCCTGGGTCACTCTCTGATTCTCCAGGAATTCCTGGAAAGCTAGGAAAGTGAGAGATTCCTTCGGCTGGCTCTTGCCACAAAACCTCTCAGGGAGCCGCAGGATGGTCTCAGGGAAGACTATGCCCCAGAGGCCAACAGGGACCGTGAACCCAGGAGAGCAGAGACAGAACGCCTTCAGTCTTTCAGGACAAAGTACAAATTTGGAAGGGGAGATTAGCACTCCCCTAACACAGAGGCACCATAAATCAATTATTTAGCTGTCCAAATGCAGATGGTATGGATAGCAGTGAGAGATAAAAGACTCCAGCTAGAGCCTTAACAGATAAAGCAGGGGGGGGAGGGGGAGGGTGAAACCAGGGTGCCTGGGGGTGCTATCTTATCCACCTGGCTAGGCCATCCCCCCCTCCCAGGTCTCAGCTACTTAACAGCTCTAGGGAACAAGTGGAGGATGGGCAGGTCATTTCTAGAAGCCTGGGCGCAAAGAGAGTGTACTTACGGTCCCAGCCTGTCAAGAGGACTGGCCTGGACGGGGCAAGACCCTCCTCTGTCAAACCAAAATGTTAGAAATAGCCCCCAAACGGTGGTGTTGCATCGACTTTTCCCCTCCTGGTTCCCGGCGGCAGGAACTTGCTTGAGGGCACAGGGCACATCGGAGGAAAACACTGGGGGCTGGGGAGAGTGGGGGGGGGGGGGTATCGCTACCCATCGTGGCTGCAGTCTCCACCTGGAGCGTTCCAAAAGGTCAAGTTCCAAACGAGGGCTCCAGGCCAGGTGGAGCAGACGGAAGGGGCGGGGACCGCCAGAATGGGTAGAGAAGCTGGTCCGGCCACCTCCCAGGCCACCTCCCGGCTCAGGCAGTCCTTCCGCTGGCGTGGCCCTTTCTCAGCAGCCCAAAGCGGCCCCGCCCCAAGCTTAGTGGGTGACCAGTGGGCGGGGCACCCCTCAGGGCCAGGGACGACGGAGGGACAAACTGCCCCACCCTACTGCCCAGGAGGTGATAAGGGTGCAAAAAAGAGAGAGGGGGGGGGGGGGAGGGAGGGAGATGAAAGAGCCTGGAGTGGGGACAGTCACAAGTTCGCCTGTCACGTCTATCTTTCCCTTTCAAACATCACACCACACAGTTTAGCACCTAATTGTCCCCCAAAGGCTGTAGCCCTCCAGGGTACAGCTGACACAGCGCGACTTGTCAATTATTTAGTCTGAGGCTGGAGGAGATAAGAGACCCGCAGACCTGAAGCCTGGAACCAGAGAAGCAGAGCCCTTAGGCCGACCAAGTAGGTTCCAAGGCTTACAGGGTATATATATATCTACAGTATGAACCGAATGCACTTAGTAACATGCTTTTCCGGGCTCTTCCCACTTGAGGTGAGGCGTTCAGCCCTCCCCCCAGCACCAAGCCAGCTCAACTGGACGCCTGGCCCTCGCTGCACCAGCGGGGAGCCACAGGGACCATTCTGAGATCCCAGGCTACCAGACAGCTAGCTCTCTGGCAGCGAGGAAAACAGACAGCTGGCACCGGAGGGTGCCTAAAAATAACCCAGACAGCTGGGCAAGGGGGTGTCAGGGGCCCAGGCTGATGGGCCGAAAATCAAGATACCTAGAACCCTGTCCAGGCTCTGCCAGGGGGGTGGCCTCAGTAACCTAGGGTGAGAGATTTCTTCTCTTGGAGCCTTTGGTGGGACAACCCTTAAAAATCATGCGCCCCCCCCCCCCCCCCCCCGACACACAGAACAGCCCATTCAGCCCGGGAACAGCCTGGACTCAAAACTGCAACGGGAAGAAAAACAGCTGGCCTCCCAAGCACAGCTACTTTTCTTTCTCCTTTGCTTGGAGGCTCCAGCACGTGCTTCAGGAAGTGGGCTGGCGGGGAGGAGCCCAGGACGCAGCCCAGCCCCCACCCCCGCAGCCACTCCCAGCAACAATCCCGATCGTAATGGAGGCCAACGGGTTGCCGAGGCCAGAGCAGGAGCGCGGCCCCCTTAATCTCCATTAATCCTCCCACCAACCCTTTTCCAGCAGTTATTATGATTTTTTTTTTTTTCTTTTTAAACGGGGGAAACACTGGTCCAAGGTCACTAGCCCACAGCTGCCAGACTTGAAGATCCCTGACCAGGCACCAACGTGCCTCCAACGCCGCCACCTCCGTGAAGCCTGCTAGGCTCCCCAAGCCACCCTTCCAGCACTCACTGCAGGGGTGAGGAACAAGAGGGAAGACAAGAAGCTGGACGCTCCGGGGCAAAATAAAGGAAGCAGCGTGATCCGTGGCACCTGCAGCCAAATGGCTTATCAAAGTAACATATAACTAGGAACACAGTGGGGTGGGAGAGGGCAGGGGTCAGAGATCAAGGGCCATACCACCTTCAGCTGTGAAGCTTCCTGGGCCGGAGGGCAAGCCAACTGCTGGCTACCCAACCAGAGAATATCTCAGGTGTTACCTAGCAGGGAGAGTCAGGAAAACTGGCAGCGCCTGGGACCTTGCACGGAGTGCAAATTCTCAGATGCACCTCCTGAATGAGAAACTCAAGAGACGAGCATAGCCAGGTTTAATGAGTTCCCCTAACTGACTTCGGATGCCTGTGCTGCCTAGTTTTTACAGACAGGGAGCCCGGCTCAGAGACTCTGTTCAGACTATGCAAGGTCACCATCACATGTAAAGGGCCAGCCTACTTGCATGTTCTGGAAGCCAGGCTCTCACAACCTGGCCTGGTTGGGACACGGAGGCCACTGTGAGAATCCAGGAAACGGAGAAGTCAAGGAAGCCTTTTCTCTGGGCAAGCTGCCTACGACTTAGGTCTCTTGGTTCTTTGTCTACCCAGCAAGCCGCCAGACCTCAGAGGGTGGCTCATTTGGTCCTCCTAATGGGGCTCAGGAGGAATGGCTGAAACGCCATCGGCAAGGCTGCCAGCGCGCAATGCCTTCAGAAGCTTCCAAGGCCCTCCCACCCACCATAAAACACACCATTGGGAAATACTTCGTAGTCCTGCTCTAGTACGCAGCTAAATTCGGCAGAGAATCGCCCGCCCTTAAACGCCTGACAACAGAGGTTGACAGGCGGGGCTGGATGGACCCAGCAGGCCGCCCATTTCACACACACACACACACACACACAACCGCCACATCAGCGTGGAGGAGGGGCTGCAGAACCAGCCCCAGCGAGTTTGGGAATCCCAACCCGCCCTTCGAAGGCCGCAGGCCAAAGCCCCCTGATACAGTTCTCTGTGAACTTGGGAAAAGGGCTCTTAACCTACCTTAGTGGGAAAGGTGTCAGCCAAATTAGGCCTGCTCCAGATGTCCAGAGGAAGCAAGGGCTGTCTACTGTGGGGATAACCCAGACATTGCTCCGGTCTCCGGCCAAGACCTGTGAATTCGGACGATCTGTTAGGGCAGTCCCTCAGTTTGTAGGTCAGAGAATGGATTGGCCAAATGCAAACCGACAGGGTCTACTTGATCGAAAGGGAGCCTCAGAAATGCTGCCCCCCCCACCTTTCCCAGCTGACAAGGCGGCCCTCACTCTGGAATGGATGGGGGTGGGGTGGGGGTGGCTGAGTCACTAAGGTTCAGCCCGGGCGACAAGCAGCAGGAGACGACTCATCTGCATTTCCAAAGGCCCGCCCTGTCCGCATCCCCTCCCCCAGGAAGGCCGAGATCTAAGGCTTTAACCCTCCGGCACTTATCGCGGGGGGGTAGGGGGGGAGATCCCGAGGGGGAGGCCCCACTCGGCTTTCCCAGGCCCCGACCGCCCCCCCCACCCCACCCCAACACACACCTCCAACCAGCAGAGCTGGGTTGGAGGCTGTGCCCCTTGGCGTCCAAGTGAAGGGACTCAGGCACTGCGAGGGCCTCTAAACCAAAGTGGGGACAAAAGGGGAGACCCGCCCCTCCGGCTCGGCTATCAAAGGACGACCGGGGGAGGCAGGGGTGGGTCTCCCGAAGCCGAGTGGGCAGTGGAGGGAGCCTTGGGCAGCCTCTTAGCCCTTGGCTACTTTGGCTCCTGTTCCGCGAGGCAGAACAAGCAAGCAGGGCACTGCAGCCAGAGCGAGGCCTCGTGCCCGCCTGGGCCTTGGGAGTCCGGGGCTGCAGAGGAGATCAGGGTCTCCAACCCGCCTCCAGCGGCTCGCCCGGCCCCGGCCCCGGCTCCTCCCGCGATCGCGATCGCCAGTGCGGGGAGCCACACGCCGCGCCCAGGGCGCAGAGGGGTGCGGGGGGGGGGGGGAGCGAGTGCGGGAACTGTGATACGCGACGCCCCCGAGGCCTAAGACCCCCCCCCCCGAGACCCGTCACCAGGATCCCGGGTGCCGTGCTTTGCAGGCTCCTAGGACCCGGGACTGCCTCCCGGGCTCCCAGCGACAACCGGGGGAAAGCAGGATGGCGGAAGGAAGGAAGGAGGAGGAGGAGAGCCGGCCGCCATTAGCCACCGCAGTATTGAACCGCCGGGCGGCCGGGCGGCTCCAGCCTTTGGCCCCAACCGGGCCCAGCCCGGGGCTCGGCTCAAAAATCTGAAAATAAAACTCATGTTTGGGAGGGAGGAGCCCGCGCGGCCGGCAGAGAAGGACAGGCAGCGCCGGGCTGCAGGCGGGAGAGATGCTGCGTCATGGTGCCAACATGGACGCCGGCCTTTTGTCCTTTTTCTCTTTGGAAGAGCGGGCGAGCCCCGGAGCCCCGAAAAGCTGACTTAAAGGGGGCAGAAACCCCACATCGAAGGGGAACGAGACCTTAGGACGGGTGGGGAGGTTTCCTCGCCTTTGCAGCCCCTCCGTCTCCAAAGCACTTCAATTGCTTTCCCTGCCACCGAGGTTCAGACCCGAGGCCAGCCAAAGGGACTAGCGCTGACAGCTCCATGGATGCTCCCCCCCCAGTACTGGGGAGATGCTCTCTCCGCTTTTGGGGCAGAAGAGGCAAAGGGGTCTGGAGAGCCTTTGTCCCCTCACCCGCCCACTGTCATCGGTTGCCAAACTCAAGCTCCAGAAACCTCAGCTCCCTTCATCTGCAGCCCATGGCCTGCTCGATCGAGAGTTCCTCGAAGGGGGCAAAAAGCACTTAAAATTTTTCTTCTTTTATTTTAGTCTTTTACTTACCCGCTCAGCCCGGTGCCATGGAGTCTAGAAGAAAAAGCTGGGCGGTGTTTTTGGAGATGTTATGATAAAAAAAACACAACTTTTTGTTGTTGTTGTTTTGGTTGTTTAGTTGGGGAGAAAAAAGATCTGGGGTTATGGTGTTCTTTTGTTGTTACCTTTTTGTAAGTTACACTCGTGGTATTTTCTGCTCCTTCCCACGACCTGCAAACTTTCCAGGGTTGGGCTGGCAAAAAGGGCGGCTTCGCTGTGGACTGTTTACCGCTCTGGATTTAGCCATGGCGTGATCGTCATTAAGAAACAAAAGGCGAAAACACGGTCAAGTCAAACAAAAGAAAAGGCGAAAAGAGCTCACCAAGCCCTTCCCAACCACCACAGAAAATACCACCGAGTTCATGGAGGTGTTTGGCTTGAACCAGCTAGGGCTTGTTTTCCCGTTTTAATCTAGTTTTCAGTGGCGGCTTTTAGTCTTTTGTCAAGAAAGCCCTCTTCCTTTCCCTCCACCCCCCCCCACCCCACTCCACCCAAGTCGAGAAAAACAGCTGTTTTTCTTCAAAATAGATCGATTTTCAAAGAAAGTGTACGAGTCACTGGGAAGGAGCCTGAGCAGCATCTACTGCTGTAAACATTTTCTCAAAAGCTTGCACTCAACACCGTAGCTTCATAAAAGCAAACGTCTTAAGAGCATTTTAACTGACTTACATCGGACAGAGACAGAGACGGACATGCAGATGAAGATTCCGAAAATTCAGGACATCTCAGGCGACATTAACATAACTGCAGTGCAGTAAGGACAGAATGGATTGGGTACTTACAATGTTAAAAGGTTTTTTTTTTAGAAAATTTAACAGTAACAACAGCTCACGAAGTTTGGTTGTTGCTGCCATTTCGCTATTCCTATTAAGTATACATTTAAAACATTACCTTGTTAAAAAGAGTAGTTAATAAGATGGCCCAGGTTAAGTGTTTAATAGAGGAAACTATATTTAAAAATTTATTGTTCAGTCAAGAGAATACAGATTAAGACAGCTCCAAGCTCTCCCCCCCTCCACCCCACCCAAGAAAAAAAAAAGGAAAAAAATTAAATATGTCATTTACTTAGGTTTTTTTGAATTCAAAACTGTTAACTGCTGACATTAATAGTGTGCCATGACCTAGTTATACAAGACAAAGATGGATTCCAAGTCATAAGGAAAAATCCAGATCTTTTTAAAAGGTCTTCTTCATTCTTCCAAGTGTGAGTCCTTTGGCAAATGTTAAACACATTCAGGCGTCCTGAACTGGATGGTGGAGTCAAAGGAAAAGCATTCCCCATTTGCAACAAAGGAAAAACCCACTTGGCCATTTAATTCCATTGCAGAAAAATGGCTCCCCTCATCTGTTGGCCTCTCCTTGGAGTCTGATGAAGGATGTTTTGAGATCAGCGTCTAATAACTCAAGCCCTATAGAAGCCGCGTGCTGATTGGCTGCCGCGCCCTGCCGCCCTGCTCCAGCCAATTACCTACCCACGGCCAAATTACAAACCCCGAAAAGAGCCCCAATATGAAATACACCACCACGAAGCCCCAGCCAGGCGGCTGCTTCGCCTCGGCAGCCCGAGAAGAGAGACCGGGGGGTCTGCAAACAGCTCCACGCGAAGCCGGGGAAGCCTCCGAGTTGAACTCACAAAATGGAAGCCGAGCGCTGATTGGCCGCCGCCACTCCCGGACCTTTAATAAAGAAAGGGGAAGGAAAATGATAAATGCAAAAAAGGGGACTCTCTGTCGCTGGTGGCTGGAGGAAGGAGGGGGGAAGAAGCATGTGTTCAGGACAATTACTGGGCGCTCCCCTCCAAAAATAAAAAAACAGAAAGGAAAAAAAATTAAAAAAAAAAAAAAGGAGCTATCTTCCATGTCCAGGCGAGGGCTGTATCCTCCCAGGAATGTGAAGGCTAATGTGGTTCCAAGTCTTGGTTTCCCCTCCCCAGTACAGCTCCAGGGAGGGAGGGAGGGGGTGTGCGGGCCGAAGAGGAAGCGGGATCGGAGATACCTCGATTGCAACTCGTTTTGGGGTCGACGTCTGCCTCCCCCAGGCTCCTAGTAGTCAAGCACACAATCACCCCCCTCCAAACCCAGCCCTTTTGCCGAGTCTCCCCGCGCCCACCTCCGGTCTGGGCAGTTTGGAAACAGTTTGGGAGGCCCCGGGGGCGCACGCCGTGGAGTGCCCGGGTAGCTGGAAGGGTAGCCCCAGCCGCGGGAGGTAGAGACCGAGGAGACCCCCTCTCCGCCCCCCCCCCCCGCCAGCCAAGCCCCCCACCTCAGTCCCAGCAGAATAAATAAATTAAAAGGCCTTCCCCCCGGGGAAGGGGGGGGGAGGCAGTGTGGGAGCGCGCGAGTGAGGGGTGGGGGGCCGCTGGGGCCCGGGGCTTTGGCGGCGCAGCTGCCGCCGCCGGGAGAGTGCCTGGGGAAGCGGCGAGGAAGGCGAGGGGAGGAGGAAGAGGAGGAGGAGGAGGAGGAGGAAGAGGAGGAGGGTGAGCGCTCGGGTCGGGCTCCTTAGCGGTGTATTGTGGGATGTGCGGCTACTGGGAGCCGAGCCTCCGCCGCCAGCCGCCTCCCGGGCAGCAGCAGCAGCAGCAGCAGCAGCAGCGGCAGCGGCGGCGGCGGCGGCGGCGGCGGCGGCAGCAAGGGCAGCGGCAGCTCGGGGCCCGGCAGCCGCTAAGGCGGCGTCCCCCCCATCCCGGCCCCCGGTCCGGCCGCCCCGGCCTCGGCTCCCGCGGGGGACACCATGTACTGGCTGGCGGCGCAGGGAGGCCGGCGCCCGGCGGGGATGTAAGCACGGCTGGGGAGGGAGAGAAGGCCGAGGCTAGAACAGCCGGGCGGCCCGAGCCCCCGGCCCCCGCCCCGGCGGGCGACGCCAGGCCTGCCGCGCGCCCCGAGCCCGAGCCGGGCCGAGCGCCACGCCGGGCAGCCGGCAGCACCATGGGCCGGAGCCCGCGTCCTCCGTGCGCCCCGGACCGCGCCAGCCCGCAGCGGGGGCCCCGGGCAGCCCCTCGCTGGCAGCCGGAGACGGTGGCCGAGCGGGCGGGCGCGTAAATTCTCCGGAAAGGGTTTATTCTCTCGCTCCATTCTTATTTTTTTTTTTTTCTCCTACGGGGGAGAGGGGGGGGGGGGAAGAGCCAGCGAGACAAGCTTTCGGGGCGCGCTGGTAAGGTGGGAGGGGGTGGGGGCCAGCCGATTGGATTCTTTGGCGAATGTGTAGAAGCGGCGGAGAGGACAACAACTTGATGGTTTTCAGGTTGGGTTAACGGCATGGAGAACAGTCACCCCCACCACCACCACCAGCAGCCCCCGCCGCAGCCCGGCCCTTCGGGCGAGAGGAGGAACCACCATTGGAGAAGTTACAAGTTGATGATTGACCCGGCTCTGAAAAAGGGGCACCATAAACTGTACCGCTACGATGGGCAGCATTTCAGCCTGGCGGTGAGTAGCCGACGCGCCTTCCCGCCACCCCCACCCATCTCCGGTGGAGCCCCCAGACAGAGGCGAATGGAGGGGAGACCCCTCTCCCAGCCACCTGGCCAACTGTCAGCCAGGGCTCCCCCCTCAGCCTGGAGTGGGACTGGTGCCTGGAGAGGGGGGATCTGCCCCTGCCCCTGGGGAGGGTGCCAGCCGTCCATGCTGAGCCCCCTATCCCTGCCCACAGATGTCCAGCAACCGCCCGGTGGAAATCGTGGAAGATCCCCGGGTGGTCGGAATCTGGACCAAAACCAAGGAGCTGGAGCTGTCGGTGCCCAAATTCAAGGTAAGACCCCTCCTCTCGGTCTTTTGGTCCCTCCCCCCTTCCCCGAGTTCGAAAATAACGCCAGTCCTGACCAAGCCCAGCCGGATTCTGAGTTCCCGCCGTCCAGGACTGGGAAGTTTTGGCGGGGAGGGGGAGAGTGGTGTCCCCTCCCGGCCACTGTAAACAAAATAACACTCGGAGAAATTGTAACGAGGGCGCTGATATAGAGTCCTGTTGGCGGAGCCGGGGGCTCCGGGTCCCCACCTGGGTCCTGTGCGCCCAGGGGCCTGGTTCAGGGACCCGCCCCCTTTCCCATCCCTTTGGGTTTTAAGGGGACAACTTCCTAGACCAGGGGGTCGTCCCGGAACCAGCAGCAAGGACTGGAGGCCAGACTAGGGGGTGGGGAAAGAGAAACTGTTTCTTTTTCCCCTTGCCTTTAGAACCCAGAGGACTTCCAGGTTCCAAACGATTTAATCCTCCGCTTCCCAGGCCCGCCCGCATGCTTTTTTTCTTTTTTCAAAAAAAAAAAAAAAAATTCACCCTTTATTGTTTTTTAACCGCGGGGCAAGTGAGAGGAGTGTCATGTTTTCTCTTTGGTTTTAATGTTTTCCAAACTCCCTTCCCCCGCGGCCCCTGCCAGATCGATGAGTTCTACGTGGGCCCTGTGCCTCCAAAGCAGGTGACATTTGCCAAGCTGAATGACAACATCCGCGAAAACTTCCTAAGGGACATGTGCAAAAAGTATGGGGAGGTGGAAGAGGTGGAGATTTTGTATAACCCGAAGACCAAGAAACACCTGGGTATTGCCAAGGTGGTCTTTGCCACGGTCAGGGGCGCCAAGGAGGCGGTCCAGCACCTGCATAGTACTTCTGTCATGGGCAACATTATCCACGTGGAGCTGGACACCCAAAGGTTAGTACAGGCCTGTAGGCCGCCCATGGGGGAGGAGCTGGAAGGCCACCTGTCAGCCTGACCCTCTTCCTTTGAAAATCTCCTCCTCCCTTCCGAGTTAGGAGAACCTTCCTGCTGTCCCCTCTTCCTTGGGATTCCCCCACCCACCCCCACCCCCCGCCCCATCACCTTATTTATTTTTTGTCCCCTCCGGAGGGCAAAGTCACATGGAGCCAAATGTGTTGTCTGTTGCTAGGAGACAGGCTATAATTTACCAAATGTGCCAGTCCTTGGCCACGGCACCCTTAGGGACCACCCAGAGGTTTCCCTACCTATGACACCCCCGTGGGCCCCCTCTCTCTGAGCCCCAGTGGCCTGGGTTTAGACAGCCCCTAGTGTTACTGCCTGTGTTCGGGGAGAAGGAAGCATTTGTTTATTTGTAAGGGGGCAGAGGAAGAACCACGTGCCTTTAAATTCGTAAAAGTCATTCCTTCAGGATCTAGGGTGCTATGCCCCCCTCCCCCTAGCCCCTGTCCCTCCCGGTGCCCCTTCCTTGAACCAATCTGAGCCCTGGAGTGTTTCATTGATAATGTTCTGATAGCACTGATAGTGGATCTTGGGGGCGGGCTGCTCTGGGTGCTCAAGGGTTGACACTTGTCTTCCCTCCTCTCTCTCTTAAAGAGACCGCAGCACCTTGGTTTGCTGAGCCGGGCTGGGCAGCCACACCTCCTACCTCCAGGGTTTGCTGGCTCTCCCCTCAGCCTCAGTCCTGGCTCAAGACTCAGGTAGAAAGACCTGGCAAAGACTCAAGAGAGCCTTCCCCCTAAATTTGTTTGCCTGTGTCTTTTCTGAGAGATTCCTTCCGATCTGAAGGAAAGTACAGGGCGCTCTGGACCTAGAGAGTCCCTAGTCCCCTGGTCCTAAGGTTAAGTCCAGAGTTGTGGGGGGTGGGGGGCGGTGGCAGACCAGTGAACCCTGCCTGAGAGGATTTAGGACCAGCTCCAGGAGTGTTTTGCACACAGGTTTGTGAGTACCTGAGCACGGCAAAGGCAAGAGAGGAAAACTTAATCTGTGTTGTTTTGCTTTTTATGATGGCTGTGTGGTGGCCGCATCTCTAAGACACGGTGCTGGGTGTTGCAAAGGGTTGTCGTAGTTCTGAGTGAATTCGGTTAGCCGGCTTGCAGAGCCTGGACCTAGTCGTATGTCATAAGCTTGTTATGTTTGTCCGATCTACAGCTCTCCTGCTCCCCTTTTCCCTAGTTTCTCACTCTCTAATAAAGCTCGTGTGTGTGTGTGTGTGTGTGTGTGTGTGTGTGTGTGTGTGTGTGCGTGTGTGTGTGTTGTGTGTGTATGTGTGAACAGGCTTTTAAATCTACTCCCCGTTCTTACAATAAGCTGAAGTCTAATTTCCCCCAAGACTGAAGCATGCAGTCCCCTCCCCCATCACCTGCCCACATCTTAAAGAGCAGCTAAGTCTTACCACAATTTCATTTCTGGAAGAAAAAAAAAAAAAACAAGAAACAAAAAAACCAAAAAACCCTCAGATACTACTACCTAAGTTTGAGATTGTATTTCGAGAAAGAGACCAGCAAAGTGTAAAGTGTAGCTCAAGGAATGTACCTCCTTTGCATATGTAAGCAACCACCTCTAAGGCTATAAATACCAATGATCTGGGGCCTGGTTGGTAAAAATCTTTCTCTGATGGGTAGGGAGTTAAACTTAGGGCTCATTGGGACCATGTGGGCCCCAGGTAGTCCCCCAGGCAGACTTGGGGCCCTCTGGAGGCTTCCGCTGGTGAAAAGCACTGTGCAGTTGATTCATAGGAATATGTGTGTTTGACCAACTTTGCTGGTCTTCTGGCCCCAGATAGTTAACAGTCATCTGTGTGTGTCACCTGACTTCCTCTGTCCTTGCTACGAACACTATTGCTCAGTGAAAGACTGAATTGTGGGGAGATGGGGGGTCATAATGGCTCTTTGGGAACTATGGTCTAGGTAATGAAGAGGACTTTGCACTGAGGATGGCATTTTTGGGTTTTGGGGAGTCTCTACCCAACAAGGCGTTAACCTTCGAGTCTCACTCAGGGTCAGAACAGCCAGGGTTGCAGCTTTGTTGGACAGATGAGAATCTTGAATGAAGTACGAGAGGGTAGGAACCTAAGCAGGGGACATGCAGTGTCCCCAAGCTTGTGGTCTCAGGCACAAGGGACCCATGAAGATGCTAATAAGCAAGTTGGAATCCCCATGGGTTATGTCTCCTGCTGGAGCCTCCATGGATACCCCTCTCCCCTGCCTGTTACAGGGGAAACTCGCATGCGCTTTTATGAACTGTTGGTCACCGGCCGGTACACCCCCCAGACCCTCCCGGTGGGTGAGCTGGATGCTGTTTCTCCAATTGTGAACGAGACCCTGCAGGTAGGTTTATCACGGTTGCTTCTCTGGCTCAGCACCTCTGGCTTTAGAGGCCTGAGTACACCTGTAGGTTTCAGGTCTAAAAACCCTGTTTTCCCAAGATCTGCTACAACATGTCTCCCCTGGGGTTGGTTCTGCTCTCTATAGCATTCGGTCCACAGGGAGTCCTTCCCATTCTACCCTGCATCTGCACTGCGATTCCCACAGACCTGGGGTTGCTTTTCCATATGAATGGCAAACCATTGCTGTGTTCAGGTCTTAGCGTCTGGTGTCTGGCCTTCCCTGTACTCCTGTCTCCAGGAAGCAGAGTTCAGAGCCTCTTCCAGAACAGACTGCCTCTTTCTCAGCCCCCCTGCCTACCAGGACACTCACTTGGCCAATTCCAGTCAGCCACAGTTTCAACCTGCTCTGGGGACCCCTCAGAGGGTTATTAAAGTCTGTTTACCTGCCAAGCAGGAGGCACTTGTCCTATGTCACGTTGTTTAAATCTCTAGAATTTTTCAGGACAGTCCATCAAGCCCAAGACCACAGTTCTTGGTCACATCTCTGTCCCAACGCCCTTTAATGTCAGATAGCCTGAGGTGGGAAGGAAATGCCAGTCTTTACCAAGCTGACAGGGTCTTCTCTTTCTGCTGGGGGATTAGAGAAAGCCCTCAAAGTGTCCAGAGGGTAAACATCTATACCTAGGGAGAGAGAAAAACTTAAGAGCTTCCTAACACGTCTTTCCTTCTGCTGGAAAGTCGTGGGCTCCAAGCTCTCCAGCAGCCAGAGTTTTAGTGGGAGAACACTATTTCCTTGCATGGATCTACCCTCCCTCCACTCCTGGGACTTCTTTTCTTTCTCTTTCTAGCTGTCAGATGCTCTGAAGCGCCTCAAGGATGGCAGCCTGTCTGCAGGC